TCTCTCTCTGCCTGCCTCTCTGCCTACTTGTGATCTCTGTCTGCCAAATAAATAAATGAAATCTTAAAAAAAAAAAATCTTGTAACAAACAAAAATGGAAACTCCATACACCAAAACTCATAGAATATGGCAAAAGTAGTTCTAGAGGGGCACAGTGGGTGTGGCTCAGTGGGTTAAAGCCTCTGCCTTCGGCTCAGGTCATGATCTCAGGGTCCTGGGAGCAAGTCCCACATCGGGCTCCCTGCTCAGTGGGGAGCCTGCTTCCCTCTCTCTCTCTCTACCTGCCTCTCTACCTACTTGTGATCTCTGTCAAATAAATAAATAAAATCTTAAAAAAAAAAAAAGAAACAAACCTAAAGTTAGCAGAAGAAAGGAGTTAACAAAGATCAGAGCAGCAATAAATGAAATAAACATCAGGAAAACAAAAGAAAAGATCAAAGAAACTAAGATTGTTTTCTGAAAAGACAGTCAAAATTGGCAAAACTTTAGGTAGGCTAAAAGAAAAGGGGGGCGAATTCATACAAATTAAAATCAGAAATGGAAGAGGAAACATTTAAATGGACAGCACAGAAATACAAAGGCATTTTTATTTCTACTTTGAGACTACTAGAGACTACCACGAATGATCACATGCCAGTAAACTGGATAACCTCGAAGAAATTGGTAAATTTATAGAAACATACAAGCAAGTAAGACCGAACTGTGAATAAATTAAAAAATCTGAACAAACCAATAATGAATAAGAATGATGAAAGAAAAACCCAGGACCTGATGATTTTACTGGTGAATTCTACCAAACATTTTAAAAAAGAATTATACCAATCCTTTTCAAACTCTTGTAAAAAACAGAAGAGGAGGAGATCTTTCCGAATTCATTTTATGTGGCCAGCATTACACTGATACCACAGCCACACAAGGAGCACCAAAAGCAAAAATCAACAAGTGGACTACATCAAACTTACTTCCAAATAGCAAAGGAAACCATCAACAAAATAAAAGGGAAACCAATGGATGGGAGAAAATATTCACCAATCATTTATCTGATAAGGGATTAATATTAAAAATATATTTTCTTTTCAGGGCACCTGGGTGGCTCAGTGGGTTGAGCCTCTGCCTTTGGCTCGGGTCATGATCCCGGGGTCCTGGGATCGAGCCCCACGTCGGGCTCTCTGCTCGGCAGGGAGCCTGCTTCCCCCTCTTTCTCTGCCTGCCTCTCTGCCTACTTGTGATCTCTGTCAAATAAATAAATAAAATCTTTAAAATATATATATTTTTTTCTTTTTTATTTTTTTAAAAGATTTTATTTATTTATTTGAGAGAGATAGATACTGAAAGAGACCATGAGTGGGGAGGTGGGGGGGTGGAGAAGGAGAAGCAGGTTCCCCACCAAGCAGGGAGCCCAACATGGGGCTCAAACCCAGGACCCCGAGATCGTTACCTGAGCTGAAGGCAGATGCTTAACCGACTGAGCCACCCAGGTGGCCCAAAAATGTATGTTAAAAATTCATAAACTCAACAGCAAACAAATAATCCAATTTTTAAAATGGGCAAAGGATCTAAAAAGACATTTTTTCCAAAGAAGACATATAGGTGGCCAACAGGTACATGAAAAGGTACAACATCATAAAGTATCAGGGAAATGCAAATAAAAACCACAGTGAGAGTTCACCTTGCATCTACTAGAATGGCTGTTATTCAAAAAATAAGAAATAACAAGATCTGGCAAGGATGTGGATAAAAGGCAATATCTGTGTATGTTGGTGGAAATGTAAATTGATGTAGCCACTTTGGAAAAGAGCAAGGAGTTTCCTCAAAAAATTAAAAACAGAACTACCACAGGTTTTTAGCAATTCCACTTCTGAGTATTTATCCAAAGAAAACAAAAACAGTGAACTGCGAAGATATATGCATTTCCATGCTTTGTGCAGCATTATTCACAAGGCATGGAAGCAACCTAAATGTCCACTGATGGACAAACAGATGAAGAAACTGTTGGGTATATGTACATGGAATATTACTGAGCCACTGAAATGAAATATACCTTGCCATTTCCAACAACATTGATGGACCCTGAGGGAATTATGCTAAGTGAAATAAGTAAAAGAAAGACAAATACTGTAATGATCTCACTTACATTTGGAATATAAAAATAAAAACAAACCAAAAACGAAACAAAACTGAACTCAGAGAATAGATTGGTGGTTCCAAGAGGCAGGGGTGCAGGGCAAGTTAAGGGGTAAATAAAGGTGATCTACAGGTACAAACCTCTAGTTATATAATAAGTCTGTCTTAGGGGTATAATGTACAGCACAAGGACTACAATTAATGAGACCATACTATACATTTAAAATGAATATATAAGAGAGAATAGCTCTTAAAATTTCTAATCGCAAGAAAAAAATTCTGTAATTCTGTAATTATGTGTACTGCTGGGAGTTAACTGGACTTCCTGTGCTTATCATTTCATGAAATATGCAAATACTGAATCACTATGTGTATACCTAAAACTAATATAATGTATGTCAATTATATCTCAGTAAGAAAACAAAAGAACAAAAACCAAGGCAGTAAAAATAAAGAGAAAGAAAACCAAAGGCCAATATCCCTCATGTATATAGATGCAAAAATGCTTAACAAAATACTAGAAATAAAATTCAGTAATATGTAAAAATAATTACACACCATGACCAGTAATGCATATATTCTACAGATATAAATTTGGTTCAATATTTCAAAATCAACCAATCTATCCACCATACTAACAGGTTAACTACAGGAAAAAAAAATCACATATTCCTATCAATAAATGCAAAAAAAATATCTGACAAATTTCAACAACCATTTGCAATAAAAACCCTTAGAAATATAGGACTAGATGGGAACTTCTTACTTGGTAAAGTCTCAGTAAAAAACCTGTAGCTAATATTGCACGTGACAGTGAAAGATTGAATTGAATGCTACCCCTCTCTGAGGAAGCCAGGATGTCTGTTCTCACCCTCTTCTTCAACATAGTGCTGCAAATTCTAGCCAGTGTAATAAAGGGAAATAAAAAGCATACACATCAAACAAGCAAAAATACAACTGTTACTATTTGCAGATGCAAGATGATCAGCGTAGAAAATCCTGAGGAATCAATTAAAAAAGACAAACCCTCTTCGAGCTAATAAGTAAGATGGGCTTATGAGGAAGTCATCCTAAACCATTTAACCTCTTTAAAGATAAATCACTGACCACCCCAGGTGGTCTTGTGCTCTGCTGCCTTTTCAATGTCAAAGAATTCTAACACATTCACTGCTATTGATGAATTGTTCATAGCAAAGCAAAGGATTCTGCTTATCATATTCCTGACCTAACTTAATTTTAGAAAGATAAAGCTACAGAAATCTGATAAAGAGATATCTCTTAGGAAGACAGCCACTTTAAAAATAACAGCATAAATAATCAAATTTAAGAGCTCCACGTGTATTTAACACAAGCAAAGTATTAACATGGCATTTTAAACAGTCCTTTTTATAAAAGACCCTATATGAGATTCTTCCTTCTCCTTCACTTATTTTGGTCTTAAATGGTATTTCTGGAGGTCTGACAATCCTAGCTCAACTAGTACCTTCTTCTCTTTCCTTATACTTAGGTAAGGTGCTGTGCCTCTAACCACTACAAAAGGCTGCCATTACACTGACTGAAAAAGCCAAAAACCTTGTAACAGTTGGTGAGACTCTAGAGATCAGGCCACAAGCTCTCTCCAACCCTTTACTTCTCTGGCCTCACCCTCCTCCACTCTACTCTGCTTGGTCCTCCTGCTCCAGCCATACTGTCCTCTGGGTCCTAACTGCACTCTTGAGGCAGATTCTGACTTCAGGGCCTTTGCACTGGCCGGTCCCTCTGCCTGGGACATGTATTTCGCATTTAACTGCATAGCTAAGCCCTTACCTTCTTCAAGTTTTTGTTCACATGTTACCTCTCTCCTCAATGAGGCTTACACCCACACCACCCTACCTAAAATTGCAGAATTTTATACTTATACTTCTGACCCACTCTGCTTTATTCTTCTCTATGTCTAAGTACTTCACTCCTTCTCATATGCTGTATCATTTACAAAGTTATACAATTATTGTTTGATGTCTGTTGTGTGCCTTCCACCCCAGCAAAACAAAGGTTTTATTAATTTTGTTTGGTACTGCCTCCCAAGAAACTAAAACAATACCTGGCACACACCAGATGCCCAATAAATATCTGATGAAGGAACAGAATAAACGCATGAACGGATGTAACAGGCATAGCAACCGCTGCTCAAATTAATTTTAATTAAATCTCATCAACATGCTGAAAGGAACTGTTACGAAGAAAATACATTTTCACATGCCTTGATGTCTGCACACATGTGGTTCCCTTGTCTACACTGTCCTTCTTCCTCACTCCTAACGCTCCTTCCCTACTCGCATATATGTTCAGCCAGACAGATTCCAACTAAATGTCACAAACGAACAGGTCTTCCAAACAGCATCTCTGTTAACTTCAACCATGGCTAGTGCCCCTCCTAAATGTACCTATGCTTCTTTTTCTCACAGCCTTTCCACAGGTATAGCAAACCTGTTTTTTCACCAGACCAAAATGTGAGCTCCCTGGAAGCAGAAACATGTTTTGTTTTTGTTTTTGAGAGAGAGAGAGACAGAACGCATTTGGCGGGTAGGGGGGCTGGAGGAGTTGGGGAACAGAGGGAGGAGAATCTCAAGCAGACTCCCCACTGAGCACAGAGCCCCACACAGGGCTCGATCCCACGACCCTGAGATCATGACCTGAGCTGGATCAAGAGTCAGATGCTTTACCAACTGAGCCCCCCAGGCGCCCCCAGCAGAAACCATTCTTACTTGCTCTTCCCTCACGGCTCTAAAGCTCATATCATGTTAACAAATGACAGACGCTCATAAATGTTTTGTGTCGATAAGACATTTTTTAAAAAAACTACTAAATTGAATTAATAGTGAATTACAGAAATTTACCTCTTACTTGTTTCCTCAGTTGTTCAATTTCTTCCTTTAAGGTTTTTATTTCTAAATCTTTGCTTGCTGTTAGCGGACCATCAGCAGTTGAATACTGTAGAGCTTGAACAGTCTGTGTTGACTCTTAAAAAGAGAGAATGAAAGAAAAAAATGAGAAATATGGCCATATTTAAAATTTTTAAAGCTAAGAGCAATGCATTTCTTTCTAGAGAAATCCTTATATAATTCTGATCAAAACATCTACCTAGCAACAAAAAGCATGCAAACACATCACAATTAAGTCTCAAAATTCTGATGCATGTTTCTTTAAAAGTGTAACACATGTAGGAGAGGCTCTGCCTACTACCATGTGAGATTTTCCATCTCAAACACTGCTGGTGAATTCTACCAGTGAGTCAATAACCGTTCAGCCCCCATTCATACTAGTAGGAAGTGTCATTGTGTGATAACCCCCAAAACTTCCTGTGTCAGATGATGCATTAAAAACAGAGTCTGGTGTGTCATGGGAGGTTTAGAGATGTTATTACAGGTGACCTTGAACAATGCAGGGGTGGGGTGTTTTGGGGCCCTGAGCCCCCCTCCCAATGCAGTTGAAAATCTGTGTATAACTTCTGACCCAAAAACTTAACAACTGAGTTACAACTGAGTCCTGTTGGCCAGAAACCTTACCAATTACATAACAGTTGACTGACACATACTTTGTATGCTGTATGTATTATACACTGTATTCTCACAATCAGGCAAGCTGAAAAGAAGGAAATGTTTCTGAGAAAATCATAAGGAAGAGAAAACACATTGGCTGTACTGTATTTACATAAAAAAAAAAATCCCAGTTCAAACCCACATTGTTTCAAGGGTCAAGTGTATACGATATACAGAAATGTTGGCCTCCAAATTTTAGTTATGAAAGTTGAGGCCCACCTATAGATGATTTTGGCTCATTGATTTTATTCAAATAGAGATTATTCTTGCGGTTCTAATCAGAAGATGCAAGGTATTCAAGAAACATTAACTCTACTAAGGTTTAGTCCTAGATATTATCAGAAGATACGGAAAAAAAGAAAACTTTACAGAATTTTATCAGAAATGAACCACCTTTGTCCTAAAATAGTTACTGTGCTATCTTATGGAGGTCTGAAATAATAAGCCTCTACCTTAATTACCTCACCATAATTTTTGGTTAGTGCAAATCATTACTTATTGCTTTATACTACTTACATTATTTATATATTGTCTTAATGTAACCTATATTATTGCTTACATACCATATTATTACTATATGTATTACTGATGTTTAATATATGTGTGTACATGTGTATATATGTGTGTGTGTGGGCACACACACATATACATAATACACACACACACACACACACACACACACACACACACACACATATATATATAAACACACACACATAACTCCAGCAGACAAGTAATGTGCATTTTAGTAGACTGGGATTTACAGGATGGACAGAAGTAGCAAACATACACACACAGAGTTCCAAAATACTGTGGCCTTCAGAGGAGGGAGATTTTCTAATTAATTTTCACCATCTGTACAGAGAATAGTATCATGATCATTGTATGCATAAATATTGGTTAATTTGAATTAAAGGTGTACGATATACTTATGGTATATCCAACCATGATCTTCTACATCCAATAACTACTTCTTAGTCTTTTCTTTTTGGGTTCAAAACATGGTAAATACCAATACATTTTGTACTTACTATTTTTAAAAGAATATCCTTTATTTGTTTTTAAAAATTACCTAAGAGGGCACCTGGGTGGCTCAGTAAGTTAAACGACTTAACTCTTGATTTCGGTTCAAGTCGTGACCTCAGGGTGTTAAGACTGAGCCCCGCACATGTGGGGCTCATGTTCAGTGCTGAGTCTGCTTAAGATTCTCTCTCTCCCCCTCCCTCTACCCCTCCCTCCACCACACTCACACACGCACATATACACATGCTCTCTCTCAAAAAAAAAAAATACACACACACACACACACACACACATATTAGAAAGATATCTAAGTTAGAAGAAGAAAAAGGGAAACATAAAGATATCCGGTGGATACTAGTAACAGCTCCTTTTCCTCCTAGACTCCACATCCTGCAGGGTATGGAGGTAGGTAGCTATCCTGGCTCCTCTTTCCTACTTCTGTCCACCCTATAAACCCCAGTCTGCTAAAATGCCCATTACGCATCTGCTGAAGTTATTATCCATTGTCTTTTTTATTCTGTCTTTGACTAACAATTTCACACATTGTTTACTGACTGCCCTTCTTTCATTTCAACCCTCTTTTTATTATTATTCTTAGTGACTATAACATCAAAAATAGACAATCCACTCTGGCTTTTCAGGCACACTGACAAAGTAGGCCAGTCAAAACTCAAGATGGTTTTAAATCAATCATGGTGGACCTATTCTATGTTGCCAGTACTGGTTAAAAAATTAGGTATGTGACCTGGTGAGAACTATAGTCCCTTGATAAGAAGTCCACTAGGGGGCCTCCCAGATGGATGAAAGGAAGCATGCCTTCTTTAGGTCTCCACATGTGCGCAGACATGATCTGGAATTTTGGCATATGGCAGAATCATGAGAGGAAAGCCAAGAAAATCATAAGAGAAGCTAACCTCGCTATTGGCACTAACTTCTAACATCCTGAGATAACAAATCTGTATTATCTAAGAATTCTATGATTTGCAGCCCAAAACAACTTAACTGGTCTCCAGCAAAACCAGGAAACCTACTGATCATACCCTAGACCCATGGTTCTCACCTTGTCTGAGCTTAGAAAGGTTTATGTGCGTATGCAGCAGGGAGTGCAGGTGTTGAAACAGGTGTAGCTAGGAGATGGCTAAAGGTATTTAAGTGCCTGGGGACTAAGAGAGCTCAGTATCTTAGAAGATGTGAAAGTCTCCCTCATCAAAGAATCACCCTGCCCGAGTGCTAGTAGTCCACCTACTAAGAAATGCTACTGTACACTTTTCCATTATTTAGTAACTGTACTTGGTTTCAAGTATACCATTCTCTATCTCTTAACTTTACAGTGTGCTTACTACTCCAGCAACCACCTCGATGATACTCATTCCCACCAAGAGAGCAAATCCACTGTCCTAATGTTACTCCATTTTTCTCTTTTCTTCCTTATTTACCCAAGTTAGATTCCGAGGTCCATCACTACAATCCCTGCTTCACACACACACTTTCCATCTCTTTGCCTTCCTCTCCTCCACGACTCCCACCCTACAAGGCCCCAATCTTCGCAGACTCTGACTGTCTGACTTGTGCTCCCACCCGAGAAGCTGACAAAGAGGCTGAAGAACACACAGTCACTTCAAATTCATGTCTTCTGACATCCAACAGCTTGGCGACGACTGGCAGTCCTCAGCTGTGTCCCCAAACCATTTACTCTTATCTTCTCTAAACTGACCATGTCACATATTCTCTGTTTCTCATCAAAAATCTGATATACTCTCCACCTTCCTCATTCTCAGCTGATGACCTTGCTTTGTATTTCATTTTGCCTTGGTCTCCTCAAAGTAGAATGTAAGCACTGCATGGGCAAGTATTTCTCTCGTTTTCTGCTCACTGTTACATCTGCAGTCATGTGCGGAACAGGTCCTGGGCGGTCAGTGTTCAAGAAATCGCTGGTAAATGGATGAAGCAGCCTGATGTAAACCTGCGCCGCTGCATGAAACCGGCACTAATACAAAAGGGCAATGATCCCACATTTTCACCGCGCTTGCTTGGTGCAAATGACAGCAGTCACACATAATGATAGTTTCTAAGAAACGTTCGGTAACATAAAACATCAAAAAAGCTGGGTATACAGGAATTTCTCATTCAGAAAAGGAAGGAGTAGCAAGCACCAGGTCTCTCATTCCTGCCAGAAAAAGTAAAAATACGTAACTTGCAACAATCTTAGTTTTAAAGAAATCACATATCTGAGAAAACAAAGAGGAATAAGTACGATAGAACAGAAAGGCTCAGGCTATGCTGAGGCAAGAGGACTGGCAGCCACCTCTGACTTCTAAATTTTGCCTGATTCTGTGAGCAGGCTTAGACTCCAGGTTGCCTATATTAAGGGATCTCACTTGGGAATGAAAACACAGGACAACTTCTGGAGAATGAGTGCGGCTGCAGAAACAATTTGGAAACCTCGAGATCCCTAAATGTGTGGCACTATTTTATCATGATACATTTGTGGTACCTGGAGACTGCATGGGAATTTAGCAGCTTCTAAAACTCAGACTGAAGGCTCCTCCAGTATTAGAGTATTTCAGAAACAGTCTTGCCGGAGGAAAAGAGTCTGTCTGTCTCTAATACATGGCGAGTGTCCCAATCAACACATTTGTCAGATACCAAAATGGCAGGAGGTAGGAGGCTTCAGGGGAGAATAAATCTCCCACAGTTGTCGGAATGAGGAAGAGAGAACCCTAGCCAGGCTCTGTGTAGATCTCCCTTTGTGATATTTGAAACCAAATGTATGTTGAGTCCAATGAAAACTGCAAACCAGCCTTGTCATAGCGCCATTCCTGGTTAGAGCACCAGGAGAAACCAAAAACTTGTGCTACAGCGCCACCTTCTGGACAACAAAAGAAAGGCTTCTGACTGACCACCCGCCTAACCCTTAGAATCCAAGGAAACAAAACCTTACCTAAACAGGACAGTTGTTTGCCATTACAAATATGATAGCAGAGGTTCACTTCATGATACACTATGAAAAAAATCAGAATAATGGGGTTTCACAAAAGGAAAAGGCCTATCCAACCAAACTCAAAGACACAAAACACTGTGTTCTCACTGATAAAAGATTCAAAATAGCAGTTATGAAGAAATTCAACGAGCTACAAGAAAACTCAGAAGGGCAATTCAATGAATTCAGGAATAAAATTAATCAAAGAGGTTGAAATTGTGAGAAAAGCAAACAAAAATTTTGAAGCTGAAGGACTCAGTATATGAGATAAAGAGTGCACTAGAAAGCATTGGAAACTGCAGATCAGATGGAAGAGAGAACATGCAATTTGGAAGGTATGAATCTAGAAATGATTCTGGTGAGAGAGGAGAGAGATTGGAGATTTTTAAGACGTGAAAAAATGCTACAAGAGTTATCA